AAAATACGGAAAACGGAAATATACGATGAATTTTCATAATAACTAAGAAAAAGGATTGAAGGATTTAAGAAATTCAAACTGAATAACCATTTGATAAGCCTCAGTTTTCAGAGATTAAACGTTGACAAAGGGTGAGGAGGGACGGTTATGAATTCAGCAAGCAGCAAAGAAACATAAAATGCGTGAGAGTTTGAACCGACAAGCCAACCTCCCCTCCTTCTCGACAATGACATGTGGAAGAGGGAAGTACGTTTATATAAGAGCAGAATTTGCATCTGTCGCCGCCTCATAATTATACAAAATGTTTAGATTGACCTCATCCATCCCGCCCCCTGTACAAAATGTTTGGATTGACCTCATCAATCGTTGTAATNTAATCATGTAATATGTTTTGATTGGCCTCATCCATCCTTGTACAAAATGTTTGGATTGACCTCATCAATCGTTGTAATCTAATCATGTAATATGTTTTGATTGACCTCAGCAATTGTTGCCGCCTAATCATTGAATATATATTTTGGATTGACTTAACCAATTGTTGATTCCTAGAGATTTGTTATATTTGGATAGTTCAGATGAATCAATTATTCGTTCTCGAGTTCAAATATAGTCAATGAGATAAAGGAATGAATTGATGTTAGCTGGAAGAGTATTCATCAAATTTTGCCAATACGAATTGGTGTGGTTGCATTTTATAACACATAGAACATTTGCTCAATATGGACAGGGATTGTGTTCTAATGGACTATAGAAAGCCTCAATCTCAAAATTTTTCCATCTTGTTGATACACAGTAATTGCTATGACTTTAACATCCTGTAATCATAAATTCCTCGAGGAGCTTTTTGACCTAGCAATATATTTCACATTGATCTCTTATATTTACGTTTAACTTTCTATTGTTCTTTTATTTCCTGCCAAATTAACTTTTCCTTATTCATTTATGCTTCATTCCTCTCTGATACGGTTAATTTAGCTAATGGATTTCATCATCTATACGTTAAACTGATTTTCATGGTTGGTTTTTCTTTTTTTTTTTTTTTTAAATTATTTGTAGCAAACATTATTAATTCTATTGATGCTGATATGCACAGAAAAAATCATTTCCTTCTATACTTGGTGAATTTCATTTTATTCGTCAACTATTCTTCATCATTGTTGCAATATTTGCCCATACCAACCTCTATGATGATATTAAGATTGAGATGATAGAGCAAAAACTGCTAATACGTGCTTTCTTGTCTTCTTTTGCATTTTTTTTTTTTTGCATTTTGAAGAATCCGCATAAAAGGCGGATTTTTCAAAATGCACCTTTCCCTGCAATCACCCCCCTATCAACGGTACAGATTTGTAACAGTGTTGATTTTTTCTACCGAATAAATGATCAGATCCATTTTATTATACATGGAGCATTTGTTCAATATGGCCAAGAATTGTCTTCGAGTGGACATGTTCGGGATAAAGCTTCAACGCTTTCAATACCATTGTTCGACTCTCATCAAATTGCCCGATCTGAAACAAATAATACAATTAATAATCTCGATGTATCAGTCCACTAATTCGAAGTCAGTTTTATGCTGTGGTGAAATTGTTTTGGAAAATTAACAATAAGAAAAATTGAACCATTTATTGAAAGATAATAATGCTTACTTGATAATTAAGTAGGGCAAGATTGTAACATGGCTCGAATAAATGCGGTCCTTTCTCAATTGCGGAACGGAACATCGCTCGACTCTGCTCGATTTTTCCATCCCGCATTTGTAATATAGCAAAATTGCATACACTTTCTGCATGATTTGGATCTGCTGCCATTGCCAGTCGAAAGCATCGTGATGCCATTTTGACATCACCGGATGACTGAAATTTGTTAATTTTGTGCAAAATTTAAAGATTTTTAAAAAAAATGTTTAGCATTTTTTAATTTCTCAAAGTTTGCACCTTTTTTTAATTATTTAAATGTAATTTTATAATTGATACTTACAAGAAAAATATTTCCCGTATTGTACCAAATATCGGCAATAACCTCATCATTAGCTGTTGCTTGCGCTCGTTCAATGCACGATAATGCAAGGTCAAACTGTTGACAGAAAAAGCAACATAAGCCAAGATTCATAAATAGCTCTGCACTGTTGACACCCACTTGCAAGATACGTCTTAATACGTCAAAATCATTTCTAATTTCTCTCTTCCTCTCTCTTTCTCTTTATCTCTTAGAAACATTAAAAAAAAAACATGGTAGCACATTTATTAATTAGTTCCTATAAAAAGCTAAAAATATTCGACCACTTTGCTTATCTAGAAATATATATACATATACTTATCAATTCACACTTACTATTTCTATAACTTGTAGTTTATTTCAGATAATATTTCTAATAGTATGATTGATTGATCAATCAATCAATCAATCAATCAATCTTACCTGTAGTAGCGAAGGGCGATTTCCGGTTGATCATTGTAAAAATAATTGGTTGCAATGCATGCAATTGCTTCGACATTAGTTGGATCTTGTTCTAACACTAATTTATATGTTTTTATACTATTTTCAATATCTCCAAGGTACTAGAAATTGAACTTTTTTCAAATTTTATTACTTCAGATTCAGAATATGAAAATTTGATAATGTAGGAGAGAATCTATCGTTTTGCACGAATATTCTAAGCGATAAGAAGCTAAAATAAATGCTAAATAACATAAATATTTTGATGACAGTTATATTAAATTCATTCATTTTAAATATCAGATTATTTTAATTTCATTCCCAAATCAATAATAAAATTTTTGTTTGTTATAAAATTCCTCTTTTGAAAATTTAAAAGAAAATTAATGAAATTTATATTAATTTATCGTTTAACCTCTTGAACACGCGCTAAACCAATTAATAAGGTGATATCGTTGCGAAATATTTGTAAACCAGAATTATATTGATCAATAGCCATCAGTGGTTGATCAATTCGACAATATGTCTGAAATCGCTAAATTTGTTTATTTGTTAACAGGGGAAAAACACAAAAATGTTCGGATTGTAGTAATTGCTATTCTTTCAGTTAAACAAAAAATAAAATATTTCATGAGTACAAAATTTCGTCTCACTAATTTTCTTAATTAATATGCAAATTCGAAATAAATGCATTTGATAGTGAAACGGATTTTGCGAATTTTTAAAGAAAAATTTCAAGAATGGAATAAGAACTTTAGCCAAATAAGCGTATGTTTCTGCCATTTTTTGACAATTCAATGAGGAATGGAATTGTTTCAATGCATTGCTAAACATTCCCAGTCGATAACAACTTTTCCCGAGTTGATTCTTCCAGTACCAATCCGTATTCTTGGCATTTTTTATTGCAATTACTGCGATCTGAAAATATCAGTGCTTTTTTTTGCAAATACAAACAGACAGTGATAAAAGATGATCTGATGACCCACCTGATGTGCTACTTTCATATCACCTTCATGATAGAAGACATATTCAAAGAGATTTCGATTAACTTGTGGATCAGTTGCATATTTATCAATATTAAGTCGTGATAAATTCACAAATGGTCCATTAGGCTCTGATATTATTGATGCCTGAAGGAATGAACAAATTATCAAAAAACTCTGAAGTTCATTAATAAGACTTATAAAGTTTTTAAAATTTGCCTCGAAATAGATGTTATCAAAAGCATTAAGGATAAATGATAAACGACATGCAGCAATTATTACATTCGTTCATTTATTTAATAAATAAATTTTGCTCTATTTTTAGCGAAATTATTTATTATTTCAATTATTTGTGCACTAATACTGTTTAATCTCAAAAATTTTCACTTTTTTAAATGATTTAAAAGTCATAACTCCTTCTGCTTCCAGTGTTTTTAAAGTAACCAATTCGATGACAAGTTAAATAAAATACTTTTGCAAATTTGTAAATTTACTTGAAATTTGCATAATTACCTACCGTACCAAGACGAGTAAATCTGGCGGCGCTAGATGAGGTCGCGCGAGTGGTTCTGGAGGTTCGTGACTTACGTAAGGTTTGTTCCATAGTGCTTGATTGCAGGCAAGTTTCGGGTCGTAAAACGCCGCTTATAGGTCTTCCACTGCTTGAAATTGGTCTATAAAAAAATTTTTTTTTTCATCCCATCAAACGTGAAATTTTGTTAAAATAAAGTATTTAGATAGGAATATCATTTTTCAAAATAGTATCGTACTTTTTGACTTATTCACTCCGGTATGGAAATTCCCTAAATTATGTTGACAAAATGTATAACAAAGAACCTAATGGCTTGTCTGGATGTCTGGCCTGAAGTAATTGGCCTGGATAAAGAAGTGCCAGGTCTTGCATTCGATGCAAGCACAGTATCATCCAAAAATAATTCTGCAACACCACGTTCGTCATTTTCCAATTCATCAACATAGAATTTTTCCGTTAAGCAACTTAATTTCAGACTCCAAGCTGCCTTAAAAATTACGATTTTCAAGAATTTTGTTTTTTTTTTTTGCATTCGTTTTTTTTTTCTCCAAAAAAATCTCCCTCAAAATTTTCTTCTTTTTTTTTTTTTTTAAATGAAAAACACAAAATTTAGATATATAAAATTTGAGAACTGCTTTGAATAATAATCAATTGAGCTAAAAGTTGAATAAAAAGAAAGCAAAGAAGCAATATGAAAAAAAGAAACCAAACTTATGTTAGCGATATGAAATGAAAAAGTAGTAATGACTGAAATGAGATATATACCTGATCACAGGAATTTTTCTCAAGCATTTCATTACAAATTTTGATTGCTTCATCAATGTTATTATGCTTAAAATGAAGTAAAGCTCTGAGGAGGGGATCGAATTCCATCGTTTGTTACCAAATGGCACACACACACACACACACATCTGACTATTTAATAGAAATATGAAATAGTTTCCAATAGCAACCAGCTATGGTGCAGTATTAAATTTGATCCATTGATTTTCCTTCCGATTCAAGAAAGAAGCCATTTCAGATTTTGAAGGTTGAATTTCTGAATTTAAATTTAAATTTTGCTAAGGAAAACTTTTTTTTTTTTTTAAATGGTTTTTCAGCTTCAACATATGGGAAAATTTTTTTTTGGAGAATATATGAGCTATTAAAATAAATAACACACGGCGCATAGGAGCCCAGAGGATCATTATGTCTTGAATTGATTAATCAATTAATTTCATTTTTAAAATAATACTTCCAGCTTTCAAATATGTTTGCAACAATTAAAGATCAATTGGAAATCTATTTTAAAATATTTCAGAAAAAAATTTTGAAAAATGCACCAATGATGATAAGTCACAGCTGTGGTTAATTAGCTTTTACTCATTGAACAAGGCTAAAATTTAATATCAAAAAGTTTTAAAGCAAAGAGATTTGTTGTACAGAAACTAGTTCCATGTTTAACTTTTTTACATACTTGCTTGATTGGAGATTATACTAATGAATTTTACTAATAATTTAAAAGAGTTGGTAAAATATTAATAAATGACCAATAACTCTTTGTATAGTCGGCTTTTTTTTTCAATTTGACATATTTAAAGAAATTCTTCTACCCAATATAATCTTTAATTATCACTTATACATAGTCGAATAGTCGATGTTCCTAAGATTTTTCTGCAGTATTCTCCGGTCATTTAGTTCCTTGAACATAATGTAACGAAATTACAGTATACCTGGGGATGTACTGTAATTTGGTCATTATGAATTTCATATGATTAAACTTCTACATGAAGCCTCTGCAACTGAAATTTATTAAAGAAGCAAAAAAAAATTTATTAAATTTATTTTCATAAAACATTTAATTTAACCATATTTTATGATAACGAATTATTTATGCAACAATTTCCTTGCTATCAAAAATATGGCAAAACTTTTGAATGATAAAAAATTGGCAGATTTTTAAGAAAAAAAAAAAGAAGATAATAAATTGTTAAATCGCTTGTATTTCTCTTCGATTTTTGTGGGCGAGAATGTGATGAGCTCCATGGTGTTATTTAAAGAAAAGATGAGCCAATTAGGACACACAAAATTCCATAAGTGAAATACAAATTTTTGAACTACCAAAGTAATTGACAATAACTCGTTTCAAACTTTAAAAATGGTACTAATTTAATTTGAAAATGAAACTTATTAATTGATAACCGAAATGTATTCTTTTTCATTTGTCCACATATGTTTAAAGGCATATATTACATATGATTAAAACACTGGGTGACAATAAATGAAAATGTAAAATTTTTTTTCAAAATTTTTGAATTCTCTAAAAAAAACTTATTCAAAATATATGCTAATAATTATAATAACAGTTGAAAAAAAGAATTTAAGAAAAATATTTTATTAGGTAGATAGTGTAAAAAGGAAAAGAAACTACAATGGAAGGCAAGACTGCATTGGAAGGCCACAATTTGTTGTTTTGAAAGGAGCAGTGGTACTGTATTTCAAGCTTCTGTAACTCAAATCAAAAAAAAAAAAAATAGTTCTATTCGAATCACCCTTTATATGGAGCTACATATGAATAAACATTCGGTACATCGTATTTTACCACAAACGTCGTACATATTCACCGCGTACATCACGTGGAGTTCCAAAGGCTGACATTCCAGTCTGCAATGTTTCAGTCTTTTTTTTTTGTTCTATTATTTGTCGCACATTTTTACTTTAGAGTTAATGAATTTAAAAAATGACTTTAAAGTTAAACCCATAAGAAATTTAAACAAAAGAATCATACAAAGTTCAGATCACCTGATTCGCAAATTCGGTTTCTTGTCCTGACCAGAATGGAACTTCTGGCCGTCGAGCCATATCTATTGGTAATTCTTCATGTGAATCATCCACGAATGGTGTATAAACCTGAATTAAATTCATTAATGATTATTAGATCAAGAAATACAGATTAAGTACAATATTAAAGAAATATCCATGAAAGATTATATAATGCTTATTACTGAATCATTTGAAGGACCAGAAAATAAATATGTAATACGGTTGTGTGTTGATAATTTGATAAATGAAGCGAAATATGAATGCAATTCTGCTATACATGTTTTTGATTAAAATGTAAATATTTTTGACAAAGTGCAATATATTTTAAATTAAGTAAAATTTCCGTACTACAACATTTATCATATCCGAATAATTTATTCCGTTTTACCAAATATTTTTATGTTACTTCATCTCTTTCATTACCGTATTGCAACATATTTTAAATGTAATCGTGCAATATAATTTTAATTTAATAATTCATACCTGTCTGGGCATACCGAAACCTGTTTTACCAGCTTGAGAATCGAGAAAGTTGACACCCATTTGATATGGTATCATACCTTGTGACCGTTGCTCTTGAGCTTGCATATTTGCCACGGTGTTATTTCGAAATGCACCAAAACCTGACATTCCCGCTTGCGACGCACCTGAAAATTATATGCATGAAAGAGGTAGAATTGTGATCGAATGAAGAATATTTGTTAAATCGTGATTGCACGGCGGAAAAATCAGCGGATATCTTTCTTAGGGAATGCATATGGGAATAATGCAATTTGTGAGATGGTAATTATTAATTGGTAATTATGATTTGGAAGAACCATTAAGAATAAAAATGCTTGACCATCTTTCCAACCACTCGTTTGTCGTGACATCGTCGATTCGTCATTAGGCATTTCACCTCTCACTTCATCCTTATATTTCGTGATATTATGTCGAGGCATACCAAATCCAGTCATACCGGATTGATTAGCAAAACGATTGGTACCCATCTGAAGGTGAATGAATCCTTGACTGTTTCGATCTTGATCCTCAGTTTTCCTCACTAAAATTTATATTCTTTGTCTAAAATATTTTTTAATTAAAAAAATTCAAAAGAATTCCACATAGACAGTTACAGAAGAGCTGGGAAAGTAAAAATTAGACTATTCAAAACGTTCGAAATAATACGGCGAAATTTTTTAAATGGAAATATATAAATTAGCTATAGTCAATGAAATTGCTTCCAAAATAACTTAACTTTAGAGAAATACTGATAGATGAATGCAGTTTATTATTGCGAATAAGATTTCAATTTTGAAAACATACCGTCAACGATTCGTGGCATACCCATACCAGTCATACCGGCTTGTGAAGCTAATTTATTTGTACCGGATTGTAATGGTACAATACCATCAGTTGCTCGTGCTTTATCCTCTGGTACTTCACTTGCACCCCCGGTACCTTTTGTTTTGTAATTCACATCACGTGGTGAACCAAACCCTGTAACTTCTCTTTCTTATTTTTTTTTTTAAAACCTCATAAAAAGTTGTAATTATAATTAAGATAATTAAGATCATCGTATTGAAAATATTAATAAAGAGTGGAATTTATGTACGCCAATTTCTGTCTCAGTTTAACTTAGTTTATAAACCGACGAAAATTATACCAGTCAATCCTTTTTGTGATGCAAATTTGTTGGTACCAGACTGCAACCAAGTTGATTGTTTCAAATTCTTTATTTTTTCAGCATCCGTAATTTCTTGTAAGTTATCCGCCTTGACTTTATCAATTACATCACGAGGAGCACCAAAACCTGGAGTTTTTTTTTTTTTTACCAAGTTCAGTAGAGTTTAATATTTTGCATTTTTGAATTTAAAATTTATGACTTCAACTAAATAAATTTTTTCTTGCTATATTAATTTGTAAACAACATATTTCAAAACAAATTTTCAAATGTGTGGTCCAATAATGTTCATCATTAAAACAATTGTTTCAAATGCATTTTTAAATGTTAGTAAGTTTGAGAATAAATCTAAAGCTGATAAACAAATGATAAACGTTTAATGTTACATTGCATTTTTTTTCCCAAAATTTTTAGGACATTTGGATTGAAATACATTTAAAAAGAATATAGTAGAAATTTGAGTGAAAATTAATGCTGTATTAGTAAGGTTGGCTTATTAAAGAAAGCACGAGCTAATTCGTAAATGATTTTATTTTTCGAAAAAATTATCAATCATTATCAGGCCCTCTAACCTATTTCACTTATATCGTAATAATTACAAAAAATAATCATCAATTTCATGCAATCAATTTTTTTCCTATAAAATGTGATCATTTGATATGTTAAATTTCTTACTATAACTCTTCATGACCCATGTCTTTTATCATAATCTCCCATCTTTGTGACTTCTTTGCAAGCATGCTAATTGTTAAACCTTCTCTATGATAAGCTTATAACATATGATAACTGCTTTGAATCACTGCTATAATCAAATCTCAATTTTATACAGTTGATGATCGAATTACATAGTCTATTAGACTCATTTAATTAATCAAGATTATTTTTAACACTTCTACTTTTCAACTACAACTAAGAAATGGACATCAAAAGATGTTTATTTTGAATTTAGTAATAAATGAATATAAATTTTTTATATCTTTTGGATATAAAATAACTTTGCACAGTGCAAATATCATCGTGCATGATATAATAAGTTTACGTAGGAAATGTTAAAAGATGAAATAATTGAAATAAACAAGTAAATATTTTCTTGCTGTTCTAACTTTCAACAACAAATAATGAAAGAAAATCAAGAAGTTCCTGTTGTTATTGAGAAACAACAGTTGCTCTTAGCATCCATCTCAAACATTCGCTGTTAAATTATTTTTCTTTTTCTAGAAAATCTCGAGAAATAATACAAATGTTCTCACTTATAACAATCAATTATCGGAATTTAAAAATTCTAGGAATTTCTTTTGTAGTCAAATTAATTTCTAACATAAATTTTTAAATTTGAACATGAACTTTTAATTTAAACTTGATTCATAAATCTGGTATGATTTTGAAAATTCTTAAGTAACAAATTAAAAATATATATATTTGGATATATATTCTCTAAAGATTCAAAAAATATTTACTATTTCAATGGTTTTAATAAATTAAAACAATAAGTGAATGAAAAATTGAAAATTGAATTTCTCCAAACTTTATTTGTTTTCTCAAAAGAGTATAAAACCAATAAAAATTTTCAATCAATTTTTTTAATTCTTCATTTTCTTCTTTCTTACTACTAACCAGTCATTCCTCGCTGTGATGCATATTTGTTGGATCCAGCCTGAATAGGAATGATGCCTTCGGAGCGCATCAACTTCTCTTTATTATGCTTTGATGGTTTACCACCTGAGTAATTTTCCGCACGTCGCTGAAGGGTCTTTGGTACCTCGGGTACACCATACTGACGACCAGGTGTTGGACTTTTAATACCAATTGGTGGTGGAGGTTTTTTAGATACTTCTGATGTTTTCTTATCATTTTCCACCTGAAATAGAAAATATTTGGAACAAAATATGCGGATCTGTTTCGTTTTTTGTTTTTTTCCTATATTATTGATCGCTCAAAATTTAATAGATATCAAAAAATCATATATTAAAATATGCTATTATAGCACTAAAATGTAAATCTGAATGATGAAATTACTTTTAAACCACAAAAAATTTAACCTTTACTTGAAAAATTCCTAGCAGTAATAAGATTTAAAATAAAAATAATTCGAAACATATTCATAGAGTGTATATTTAGGTGAGATAAATGATGTAAAATACTACCATCGATTGCATGGTATATACAAATAATTGACAGACAAATAAATCGGCGATGAAAATATTTGGCGAAAGTCAGCTTTAGATAGAATGTTCAATATTCAGGTAATAAAATACATACCTAATTTATCAGTTCGATAGCATATAATATGATATAATATCGTTGAAGTTATTTTTTTTTTTTTGATATACAATAGAGATGTAATCGAATTTACCAATGCGATAAATTGGATAATGTAATAATCTCAGTAAAACTTACTGGTTTATCATCATCTTCAGTTGCTTGTTCATCTTCATCTTCATCTTCCCGAGATTCCTCAGCTTCATCCACGATGTCCTCTTCATCGGCCATGTTTGTTTTCCACTTACTTCCGCTCTTTCAAGCTTCTGATAAACTAATCCTTTGGGTGGAAAGTTGTTACGCCACTGCTTGCTGCTTCTTACACCTGGAGGCTGTTCTGCTTTCGATCTAAAATTTTTCCGTACAGCTGTGTATGTGTGTATGTGTATATGTATGTATGTTTGTGTATGTATGTGTGTGTGTATGTATGTGTGTATGTGTGTATGTATATGCTTAAATATTTATACATTGTGGCTGATTCGGTTGATTAAGATGAATAACCTGAAGTGTGTCGTTTCTAATTCAAAACGTTGAGGAGCATACATGCTTAGAGAGAGAACTCTGATAAGCAACACTCTTATCCTTATCCCTACCATCATCATCACTATTATCACAGTAGCATTAGCTATAGCAAAAGTTTAAGCTTAAAATTGAATTTTATTTATATCTCTAACATACATACTGCCCACAACATTCTTTCTTTCACACAAAATATTATTTTCAGAATTTCAGAACACATCATTACTTCTATTTATTCTCATTTGTACATGCACACGTATACGGAGAAGAGTTGAATTGAATGGATTTTGAAACAAATGCAAAAATATTTTAATAAAGTTACTGTAATGATTTTTTCAATGTACAAAAGGAAAAATAAGATTGAAAGACAAATTAAAATTTGAATAAAATTTCGAAAATTCTTTCTTTTAGAGGATAGAAAGTATACGATAGGTTTTTCTAAAAGTTTCGAAAATTTTTTCCAAATTTAGCTAACGTGCCAGTAAAGAACAGGCAGGTTATTTGAAGTAGAAAAAGAAAATTTTCGTGAATCCTAAACTAAAAAATTATAAGCAGGTAGAGCGATATCAAACTGTCGAAATATTAAAGTTTATTTTTGCATAATGATAGAAAATGCCCGCAAATAATTTGTAATTTCATTCTTATAAGCTTTTTTTAAATTTAATCTGAAGTTAAAATTTCAGATTAAACTTGTGCTAAATTAAATCACTTTTCTTGAAGTTATAAACCGAAATCTGTTCTGAATCTACCAGATGAAACAAAGTGATCAGGCCTAGAGATGTTGGGAAAAGCTTCTGTTCGTGCTCGTTGTTTTAATTCATGTTAAAAACAAAGAATGTTATATTAACTTGAAATGCTCATAATTTCAATTTAGCAGATTGATCTTAATCTTTTAAAATAGAATTAAGTGAATATTCTATTCCAACTGATAAAAATTTAAATAAATGGAAATTGTAAGTAAGTCAGGAAGAAAAATTAAGACGGGAAATAAGCTAACTTGCCAGCTGTTTTCAATTTCTAAATGTGCTATGAAATAAAAGACTAACAAATTGTAGAAGAGAACTTGCTTGTAATGTGTTTGTTTCAAATATTTTCACAATAACTTCGCTCAGTATAAATTAATGAATTTTTATTAGACTTATCACATTTGAAATTAAAAGAAAGAAAAAAAATTTTGCCTTACCTTCAAAATATTGCAATTTTTAACTAAAAAATTGTTTTGAAAATATTGCTGATTTGACTGGAAATTATTTGGTAAAATTCAATTCGTATAATTCGAGAAAATTGAATATTAGAAAATGGAATAGAAAATGGAATATATCTGTTTTAAAATGAATCAAGTTTTTTTTTTACAATTTGTAAAAAAATTCAACAAAGAATTTGTTACCAAATTATTCGGTCTATTGTTATTGATTGATGAAATAGATTAAGAATAATTTCACAAATTGAAATGCATACATAAAGTAAGTATCTTGAAAATCTAGCTAGGAACTACTAGCTAGGAAAAATGGTGACCGCAATCTAAAAAGGAAAAAAAAACAAAGGAAAGATATTAATGATGGAACAGGCCTGATTGGAAAAAATAAAATTGGAGCCTAAAAAAGATGAGAGATAGAAGAATTGAAACTCAGCTAAAAATCACATTAGTTAAAAAAACGTAATTTATGCTCTCTTCCATCGCTCTTCAACTTTTTTCTTTATTACAATTTTCAAATTTTGATTTCAAAAAAAAAGCTATAATTTTTTTTTAAAGTGCCAATCATTTACTTTTTTGCTACACAAATACAGACAAAACACACGCACACACACATACATACATATACACACGTACACACATACGCATGTGCATATTTCAAATAAGCAAAAAAGCGGAAGTCGGAACGAACTGAATCATTCAGGAAATCATATCCGACAAAGTTGTAAAAGAAGAGATAATTCTAATTTGCACACTCCCATAGATTCTTTCGAGAGTTGTGTGTGTATGTGTGTGTGTATGTGTGTATGTGTGTGTGTATGTGTGTGTGTGTGTGTGTGTATGTGTGTGTGTGTTGTAACAAAGTATCAATAATATCAGCAACTGTCTTAAAACATATATACTTCACAAAGTCTGCTTCGATTAGTAGTTCGAGCCAACGATAAATTTTGTCGTTCATTCGCGTGTAAATTGTTGGTAATGTACTATCAAACAAAAATAATTTTTTTTAATTTTAAATTATTCAAAATTGCGCCTATTTTGGGTAAAGATGACAAAAAATTTGAAAAAGAATAAAAGTAACTTTGATAATGACATCAATATTTTTTTCAATACTTACTACGCAACCTGCTAATTCTTTGTTTTCGAAAAAAAATTGGATCAAAATAATCTGTAACTTAATCATAGTCACTTCTAAAAAGAACTTAAATTTGAGATTTGCACTCGTAATTTAGATGGAAATTTTGGAATATAGAATTTGAGAAAAAGATGAACGTGGAAGAATGAAACCGAAATATTGTTGCTTAAATTTATTCCATTCTTCATATTTCAAAATTAATAAAATAATGCATGCATGCATTTAAGCCAGAAGACGTGAGATTTGATACTAAAGGAATTTTTCATGTTTTTTCATATCCCTTCTCATTTTGTTACGTTTCACTTCTCTTTCCCTTTACCAACAGAGAGAAAATGTTGTTGTTGCTTGTCGACTGAATCCTCATGCTACTTCTGAAATGATTGCTGTAAGCTCCTGAGATTCTCTCCTTCTTTTAATTCATCAACAATCCTTTCCCTTTCTCTTTACTAACAGAAAAGAAACTTCGTTTATTAATTTTCCTTTTTTTTTTTAAATTAGAAATATATGCGAGAATGTTCACCAATTTGTAGCAAAGATACCATACATTTTAGTATATATATATATGTTGTAATGCTTCCGAATATTAGTATAGTAGCTCTTCTACATCCTCACAAATCTTTCAAAAACAGCCGAATGTTGTTATTTAAAACACTTCCCCATTCATACACACATACACACACACACACACACACACACACA